TTTATCTGAGTAGAACGTGTGAATGCTTGATAAGAAATGCGAGAGTTTACCTTAGGTCTAACAAGAAGAATACTATGGTCACTGGTAGAAACCGGGAGAAAGAATAAGTTGGGATGGTTTGTGATCACTCTGTCCAGCACAGAACTACCTCTGGTAGGAGAATGACAAAGGTCCGACAGACCTACTTCGCCGTCTATCCTGCCGGTCGCAATCGAACCTTTCTATTCGCACGAGAACGTCCTCAATGTTTTGATTCAGTCAGGTTTCTTGCACACAAACGACACATGTGTTGGAATTAATGCGTGTGTTCAGAACAGAGGTTAAATCCGAGATCTTTGTGAATAGTGAGCGAACGTTAATGCTGACCAATGATGGCGCAGTCGTCTTGGCAGGAGGAGTGCAAGTAAGTGCAGTCTGCCATCTGGCCCGTCTGCGTTTTTAGATCCATGGACTTTTATGACTCACACCAAGTAAACAATCAGCGGGTAGCGCAGAATTCGCAGTTTTTAGTCGTAGCATGTCCTGACGAGAATATTTATAAATCCTGGACATGATTAACACCGGTGTATGGACGAGGCAAACGATAAATTCCAACGTGATGAACAAGCACGAGAGTTCAACCTCGGAGGTTACGTATTTCATTACACTACTTCAGTTCGTCACATGGATGCTTCAACAAAGTGAGACTGATCAATCATATATGCCTTCTAACCGTCAAACTTCTTAACAGAAATCGCAACTCACTTTTGGAATGACAACGCCACGTGCTCATACCAATAACATTTCATTAGGGTGCTCTGAGTCATAGCTTTCTTTCAGTCACTCGTATCAGCAATGCATTTTCTCTTGAGGAGACTCCGTAATAGTTTCTTTGTCAACATGGAAAGCTTTGAGTCGGCATCTTAACAGACCTCGCTGTCTGTGGATGCATGTGGTAGTTGAAAGAATTACAAAAGTTCTAAGCTTTCCATGGACGTATGCAAATCCTGTTCAGCGGACTAGATCGAAGGATTGAAGTACTTTTTCATTGTGGTCCTCATAAGCTGCTCGCCGGTGTCTGAAAACTTTTAGCTCATTCGGACAGTTCGCAGATATCTGCACATGATTTGTACGATTACATGATCGTCAACGAAATATCACGAAATGAAACCCTAAAAAACATAGAATACACGGAGATCCTAATGCCTTTGAATTATCTGACTTATGTTGGCTCCTTCAAAGGGATTAACCGGGTTCATGTGGATCATGAAGTTTCATGACAGTTTGAGACTTTCTCGTCGTTACCGGGCCTTTTCGAGGGTACACTTCTAGCCTGTGTACAACCAAAATGTGTACTGAGATTGTGCAGAGATGTGGATAGAATCCAGGATTCATGTAGCTCGGCCACATAAAGATTTATTTATTGCCACCGGATCACAGGATGGATCTCACTCGTCCGCTAATTAGGAGAAGCATTCGCATGCTGTGAGCTATATCTCGCCGATGTTTTTGTCTCAGCTATCCACAGCCTGTTTTCAGTTCGTCTGTCAAGCGGTTTACCGGTGCCCTTCAACTTCTTGGAACCACAGGTGAGAGTGGGTCAAATGATGGAGACCGAAAAGGTGGACTACGCCCCAGGGAACACAACAGTTAACCAGCTTAGGTAAATTCATTCTTATCATGTATCACCCACACCCTTGCCCATGAGTTCGCGTGATCCATACACGAAAAGGTTCAGTTAATTGAGATCACGCGCTGAAATGGTTTGCCATCGGTCCAGTTTCTAACCTGATGATCCATGGTTTAGGTCCAAACAGGGACACAAAACTAGCGTGCATTGCTGATAGGTCCTAACAAGGATGAACCAAAGCTATACCGCGGATGCCACTCGACTGATGATGCAAGGTTTCCACGTCAATTAGAAAGCTCACCGAGATGGACGAAAATGAGTAAATCACCAAACGAGTGCTCATTGCTGGTTATCGGCGATCATGCATTTTTATTGCAGCCCTTGAGTAATTTGATTGTTCCTGTAGAGGTTCGTGCAAAGACACGATCTTTGAGGTCGAATTTCGCTTACGTACCTTTCTCTTGTACGGTTTCATAGGTTGAACTTTGCTGCAAAAATTTGGAAGTAGCTGTTCAGAAACGTCAGCGACGAATCGATCAGATGCGTGCGATCAGTGAAGCTCTGAATGTGGCCGAGATGTACTACGAGCTGCAACAAAAGGAAGTCGCAGTGGTGGTGAATGTGAGTGGCTTTTTTCTTTTATTCATGTTTTTATCTGAATTCTAGATGCTTGAACTAACTGCTTTCCTCAATGGTTGATATGTCAATGCACCTCTGTAGCCTGTTTCGTGAATTCACTGTCTCTCCCTTCCTTTCTGCATAGAAATGTTCCTTCGCGACTAGGTGACTGCTCTCCAGGTGGTAGATTTCCCCCCTCCGCTGTTTCTGCCGCACACGTTTAACTACGGTCCGAACTGGGGCAATTCTTGCCAATGATATTTTCTGTGTTAGATGGTCGATAATCGATCACATTTGATATTCACTTAGTCGATGAATGTCTTTGTATGAAATAATTTGGGTAATTCTCTAGGGGGGGGGGCTAGTTAATACTGGAAGTATTGTATAAATCTATTCAGTGTCGGATTGGGGTGGGGTGGGAGGACTTAACCGTTTCCAAACTTGTTTTTTGCCATACTTCCTCGGTTTCAGTGGATTACTACTGGTCAATCTCTATGCGAATGGTGATCGTCAGCTTTCGCTACTTTTGATGAGTTAGCGTTATATCACGCAATGGAACTTGCAATCAATTGCGAACTAGCTCAAGTGGTCTAGTGATGTCACTTTGGAACCCCAAGCCTGCACATTTGTCCTTACAGACACAGCGGTTATGCACTACCAACAGTTTGTGATAAAAAACTTTTGAACCGCAAAAACGAAGTAGAATCATCGCAACAATTCACATACTGACATCTCAGGGTAAGCTTGTCCGAAAGCCACTGACTAAAGATGCGAAGTAGAACGTTGTTGCGATCTGTTGCATATCAGGAAGTAGACTTTACCCGGGCATTAAACGGGGTACCGACGTCTATTGAGTAACCACCTTGTGCGTATGGCTCAATCAATTTGGACGGCGAATATTTGGATTAGCCCATCCCGTTTTTCACAGGCACCGGGCAGTGTTGATGATCTTGGGTGTCGGTTTCACAAGGTAATGACCGTCGACCGTGTAGCTCAGGGTTAAGGGTTTGAAGTCCCGACCCGAATGTTCGGGATTCGAGTCCTAACAGGGACACAAAAAGTACGCGCCACTGTTGACGAGTTCCGAACAGGGTGAAACTGCTGTCAAGTGCTCTTTCTCGATTATCACAAACATCGTGTTTGAATGCATGCAACCAGTGAGGAATTAACGATTTCCCAAGGAGAGAAAACCACACTCAAGACCATCAAGAGTGCCTGGCGCCTCCGAACAGTCGGACAGACTAATCCAAGCTTGCAACTCCAAAAAAATTACAGAGTTTGTTGGTGAATTGTCACCCGATTGTTCCTGTGCAATCAATTCACTCGATAGGCCTTACATTCCGGTCATACTGTGATCCTTCTCACATTAAAGTTGGTTCATAATTCTTGTGTTCCTAGAGCCGCGTGAATGATTCAAGTCGGTTATTTCTTTCTGGGGACAGCGTCTATTTCTGCCAAGTGTGTTCCTGAATATTTATATGTTCACGTAGTTTATCTCATATATTTAATAATATTGTGTGTGCATTTGCGGATTAATTGTGAATGCCGAATTACTTTCAGATGGTTGTGATGGTCGCATTAAAAAATTAATCCAGAAAAGAAAGGCCAATAGTTGAGGGAATAGATGATAAATTGTGAGAGGATAGGGTGGGTTGAAGTGAGTTTACACTGGTGAATCAGAAACAGTCACTTAATCAGTGTTATGATTTTTGTTTTTGTTGTTGGTTTTCACTATGGTTGCTACGTAATCGGGTTAATAACGGATAGGAATTTGAGAACTCGATCGGGTCGTCATGGCTGATTTTGCTTAGGTCATCTGACTGTTATAGACAAAGTCCTTTCTATTGCAGTTCTCTTATCTCGTTCACCCTCCTTCCTTGTGAATCTTGTTGTGTCTGGAAAGTTTTCCGTTTTCTCACTACAGTCCATCTCCCGCTACCCCTCGGGAGTTTGAAGAACTGGGTAAATTCCACGAACTGCAACGTAGCATGCTAGTCTGGAGTGAATACTATCAAGTATTCTGAAAAATAGGTTGGGCGTTTTGTGACAAAATAAAACCCGATTGATGAAAAGCGCGGCAATTCCGTTGCTTGTTCGTAATGTTTATAATCGTGTTGTTTATCTATGACGGCTCTTGGATATACCGTCCTGGGTATCCTTTATGTTTCGAAGAAATTGAAGTCTTCTATCATGCCGGTGGCTTAATATCGGTACTTTGCACCCGGTATTCAGCTACCCAACTTTGGTGGTAGGCGGCTTTGCTATCGTCCGGTTCAATATCACTCCTAATCTAGGGGGGTCTTATGTGGTTCACCATTCCAAGTCCCGCAAGGCTTAGGTTACCGGTTTCCACAACTGAACAGAGAAGATTCTCATGACTATGAAGTTCACCCCGTCCGCTGTTCATCACACGTTATCCCGAAACTAGCTGCCTTTCTCCAGAGGAAATTTTCCTAACACAGTTATCGCATATTGGTTCCAGATATTTCTCCATTCCTTTGCAGCACCACGCTCATCGCAGAATTGAGTATATGGTGTCCACCATAATATACAGCTGTTTTAGCTATGATAATCACAACATCAACAACCTATTCGATAAAAATAAGAATGAACCAGGTGGAACATGGGACAAAAGGTCGTAATCGAAGGAAATCATGTGATCTAAAATAAGTGAAATATCTGTTACGGGATATACTCAGTACATTGACTTCTTTCTCATATTCTAAACTGATCCTTCTCTGTGCAATCTGTGCATAATTTTCTGGTGAAAAAATGTGTAGCATAAGCCCTGTAGACTACTCGTCCGTTCGCTTTTGTTATTGCCAGTGTATGTTCCGACTGATTGGTGCATCCATTCTGGCCAGTGTCGGTAAACATAAGTGACGGATCAAGCTAAACTAGTGGTTCACAAATTAGAAGTTCATCGCTCATACAGTCAGGGGTGCGTCAGGTCCGGCTTATGAGAACCTTTGGCCAATGGCCCTTCTATATTCTCATCGGTGCTCTAACAAGGACAAGTGCGATTATCGTTCATTCATCCGTACAGGCGCGCCCGCGCGACGGCGTTTATTGATTGCTTACCCCACACACCCACTTACCAGTCAGTCGCGATTCTCGTTCACCCGTTTACACGTTAGTACGACAGAGCCTATCGATAGACTAAATGACCGTAGCTTTGGTGACCACTGCAACAAAAATGACCACATTCGAGTGCCCCACAGAATTGCGGAGAAAACCGTTGTAGCTTACAAAGATGTACCTTTAGCAATCATAAGTCGTCGTTTGTCTCAGGTTGGCTCTCCTTTGGAAATCATCAAACCCGCTGTTTAAATCAATTTTACAATCCAATGACCGACCCGAAACCCGATTATAATCTTCATTTAATCCAGTGCTTCTCTATTTGAGATAACTTTCGGCGCATTCACTTCTTCTCATTCACCTGTTCTTCCTTTGAGACCTAATGTTCTTTCTGGGAGTTGCTTGTAACACAAGGCTGTTTCATCTGAATTGAAAATATCACAGTCAGCGTATCCATGGATCAACTGCGATAACCCCGCTCGAAACCGTTCGTTTGCGTCACATCCGGAACCGCCAAACTTTCTCCACAAACCTATACAGTGATGCGCATGAGTAATTGCTTGTCTCTTACTTTGCAGGGTTGAACAACACATCCAAGAACGAAACCAACCTTTGCAAACCTTGAAGCCACGATAATGCATTCTTTATGCTAACTGGATTGCCTTCTTACAAGTGATGCTCTCCACCATAGGGAACTCATCGTGCTTTTCCCTCATAGAAGTAAACCAAATCAAGGTTGCCTAATTCACCGTCTTGTACTTTTCGTTAGTTTTCAGGTTATATATTTCCTGAGATACTCCAGCATTCACAAATTCTCCGACAGTTGTGAAACGCCATTGGCTGAGTGCGTTAGATGCTCATAGTTGCAGTAATCGTCGGCGCACCTAAACCGGTCTCCAAAGCTAACCTTTATAATTGACCACCGTGAAGCTCACCGGCAAGTGCGCGGCTCAAGGGTAATCTGGGGACCCTGGATAATTGGCCACATTCGAAAGGCGTATGAACTGGCCTCCCAGTTTCCAGCTCCCCCAGGATCGTGGAATTCCTACACCACTCCACTGCCTTGTTGGTCAAGTTCGTTAACCAAAGGCTCCGGGTAAGGGCCCCCGAAGAAAACTCAACTTCGGCCTGGGCAACCCGGTAGTACCACGCCCACAATCTAATCATGGACCAATACATTCATTCATATCTCAGACTCTCACTCATGTAAAACTCTCTTCTCAAAATCTGCACGCAACACTTCTACTCACCCCCCACGCCCCATTTTTTCCACTGTATGTCCCATCTTGAGTGGTTCCACTGACGTAGCTTCATGTTTTAGCTTGCCGGTATCCTCCTTGACATCTATCTCAGCAATGCCTTGCCATTCGAAGCCGACCGTTCCACTTCTCTGACCTCACTCAGTGTTCAAACTGGCTCCGTTCAATGTAAGAACCCTAGTGCATATAGGACAACGAGCATGTTTGGCTCGTACGCTCGAAGTTCTAAAGATTTATTTGTGTTGCCTGTCAGAAACACGCAGTCAGAATCCGAGCTCAGTGGTCTGATTGACGTCCCCTTCCGATCCAAAAGAAGCTTTTCAGCTGCGCGTTTCCGAGGACCGTATCTTATCATCGTCTGGTCAAACAGGCTTTGGTATTGCCTCAAGCACCAGGGGCGAGGTTGGTCTATTGGATGGGATCCAGACAGTAGTGAGACTCAGAGGGTTAAGTAAAACCAAAAAGCAGAAACCAAACGAACGGTGGTTATTCGCGGTTTCTGCATGCACTCTCACAGACTTTAGCCTGGATACTGTCAAAGATGCCTTCCATCACAACCTATATGAACTTCCTCTCAAAGCACCTAAGATAAATACCGTGATCCTAGCCGGAAACCTACATGCACGCGTTGACCATCTGTCACCCGATGAGATCTACCTTAGTAGCCATCATGCCCGTAATAACTGTAGTTCAAATAAAAGGGGATAGACTTCTTGGCCTATGCTCAGAACACGGTCTGTTCCTCGTTAGCATGAACTTCTGATACCCACCTCCTGGCGTAAGCCCTCTTCGGCACAGTTGTGGACTCAGATTGATCATATAGCTATTAGCTTCAGATGGAGAGGGAGTGTGGAAGACTGCTGTTTCCTGTTGACCTACCTACTTGGACTCTGACCGCGCACTGGTTTGTGCGATTTGGTGGCCGTAAAAGGATGAGATGCGAACAGCTTGATGTCGCCAAGCCGACTACCAAAACGAGTTGACTACAAGGCTAACTACCACCCCACCAAGAAACGTAGATCAACACTGGACAACCACTCAAAACGCAATGCACTCAACTAGTTTACACAGTTTTGGCCTGACCCGTCGTGTTGTAAATCACTGGGTCTCCAACTCTCTCAGACTCCTCGACGCGCTTCGGGCAATCCCGGCAAACCGCGAGTACAATGCACAGCGTCTCTCCCTAAAGCGTGAACTCATAAAGAGTTTGGGAGACGACCGAGAAGCCTAGTGGACGCTACGTGTGAAGGAGTTGTGGAAACATCCGGCAATTTCTCCAACTCATCCGTGTTACGGGCCCCAAAAGACAGTGCATTAGTGAAACAATCTGCGAAGTAGACGGCACGGTAATAAACAGTCTTCACCGACGCTTGTAACGCTGGGCAGAGCACTTCACATAGCAGTTCTCTTGAGAGTGCACCCAGGTCACTATCCACACTACCGCCCACAGAAGCGGAGATCCGAAAGGTACTCCAAGCCCTGAAACTCTGCAATGCAGTTGGATCAGACGGCCTGCCACCTGCCCTCTTGAAAGATGGAGAATCTCTCGTGAGGGAGTTTATGAGACTGTTGTCGAAGATCTGGGAAACCGAAAGTGTGCTCCATTCTTGGGTGGAGTAGATTGATCCACCCATCAACAAGAAGGGCAACGCCTATTCCAACTACAGGGCATAGGTCCGATTCCAATATCGCCGAAGCTGCTAGCTTCCGTTTTATTAAGCAGTTAAATCCCATTTCGTGGAAAGCAAATCCAAAAGGACCAGGCCGGGTGTCGTGCCTACCGTGGTGGCCTGGAGATGTTACGCAATATGGCATCGAACCGAAGTCAGTAGCGTAAAAGCATCCTTTTTTGTGTGCGATCACAAAGGGAAACAAAAGAGACTCAAAATGGTATGCAGTAAACAAACAAAAAGTTGTTATTTCTAAAGTCAACTTTGTTCTGTTTTCCGTTCTCTTTGTATATTTAGCGTTAATCCCATTGTTATTTAGGCACTGTATCTGGGTGAATTGGTGATATATATATATATATATATATATATATATATATATATATATATATANTATACAGAATCAACTCAGCTATCCATAAACTTGACCAAAAAAAATGAACTGTCATGTTTTCTTTGTCCGGCTGCATTTATTGGATTGTTTCAATACTGTTGCGTCTTTGGCATATCGGGGATGAAATTACGCAGCAAGCATGACAAAAACAATCCATGGTATCGATCAGAATATTGATTATATTAGTGATTTACTAGTATGGATGTTGAGTGTGCATAAAGTAGGCTTTTTTAATACAAACCTTTGCAGTATCTTGCAAGTTTCAGATTAGCCCGAGAAACGTTTTATAGCAAGGAGAACAATGGCGCGTTCCCTGCCGTTATTTTATTTCCTACTAGGATCGGGTTTTTGATTTGCATGCCCTTTGACTATCTCACTGGTATTGCTATTGATCGGGACTATAATCCCCTTAAAATATGGAAAATAATACTTCGGTTTCGTTCTACTTGAAAGTCCTTATTTATCTGCCCCATATATAGGCTTACAGTACGTACGGGTTGCGTGTGGCTAAAACACTGAGCAATGTGAATCGCCGAATCGGCCTGCCCAGTCCGGAAAAACCGGGAACATCCGTGGCCACGTCCGTGGCTTCTATTCCCACGCCGTCTACGACAAAACCTTCCACGTCAAGCCCCAGATATCCTTCTGAGCAATGTGAAATTACACCGGACCATAGTGCCTATGATGATTACGCAGAAAGTAATCATAACAATGATGGTGATGATGACAGCGATTTTGACTCGTCCGTGATGCCCGAGTCCGTTAGTCCACCTCGGGCTTCCGGTTATCAACCCTCCCCGATTGCACCGTTCAAGCCAACACGTGAAGAAACCCCAGT